TTAACAGTGTATATATTAAGTGTTAAAAGCTATAGCATAGTGTTGATTTTACAAATTGCTAACTTGCTGTGTTTATGAACGTCTGGATGTGATACAATGCTCATTGGCTTAGAGCCCCCCATCCTGGCCATTTGTTTTGGGCAACTATAACTACTGTGCACTTTGGGGGATCTACAGAATCAATTAGGTTTAAACCTGTCCTCCCTTCTAGTGACATGAAAGAGATAAAAGAAGCATCAATTAGCCAAACAAGTCTTTATTTATGAACCTGGTGGGTTTTTCAGGTAAAGAATCTTTTTCTTTAATGCTCAATTTTCATTTGAACCCGACATCTCACTTGGGTGGTGACTTGTCTACACGACAGTGTATCTTTGTGTTTCCAGGAGCAAAAGTCGCATGGTGTAGCTAACCCTGAAATTGTGTCCTAGCTAGGAGTTATCCTGCAAGCTACTCAATTTTCCAGTCTCAGTTTACATTAATGTAAAATGAAAACTTTGACTTGATAATTTCTAAGAATGCTTTTGGCTCTTATATGATGTATTCTATGCTTAATCTCTCTAGATTTAAGCCACTGAAATCTACACTTTCCTTGGTTCATCCATTCATTCATCTAACAAATATTTACTGCAGCTTACTATATGCCAGCTGCTTCTGTAGACTGTTGGGATGGATGGGTGAATGACCAACAAGGTCTCTGACTTTATGCTTATGCTATAGTGGGGTAACCAGACAGTAAAGCAGTATACAACCAAACCAGATAATTTCAGGCAATGATAAATATTTGATCTTTCAGGCAATAAGATAGAGAATGGATTGGATGCATAATTTGAGTTAGGTGACAGTGATTGCTGAAAATGTGTCATTACTCTTGAATAATGAGAAAGATGCTTCACATAGAAATCAGAGAAATCTTTTTAGGCAGAGAAGCAAGTCCAAAGCCCTAAGAATCAGCTTTATGTGTTTGAGGAGTAAAAATAAGGGTGGTGTGACTGCAGTGTAGTGACTGACTGGGGTAAAGTGGCATTTAAGAAGTAGGATGGGTCCTTAGGTGATGAGGAAGCAGGGTAAAGAGTGGGGTTTTGTTCCAAGCCATGTGGGAGGACCGCAGAGGTTTTATAAGCAGGACAATGACACCTTCTTCTCCTGAATGGTCGACCATCCTTGTTTATCTATGGAGAATGAATTGTAAATGGAAGGAGTGAAAGCAGAAAGTTAGGAATCTTTTGCAGTCCTGTAGAGAGATTATGGTGATTTGGGTCCTTTGCAGCTGGGATGAGGTAGATAGATTCTATTGAAAATAAAACATAGACCCAAAAAACTTCTTCTTGCTGACAGATTTTAGCAGTGGTCGTGCAAGAGTTGGTTGTTAGTGACCACTGTCTAGCTTCCTGTGGTTGCTGCTTCCTTTGGTTGCTGGTAGTGGTACTTTGTGGATTGAACCAGAAATCTTTCATGCACCTAAGAAATTACATGAGCTCATATGATTTCTGAGTTCCCCAGGTTTAACTGTATACGATGCTGGAAACAATTGAACCGTGTTACAGGACAAGGAATGTGAAGGTGAGGGTGTTTTAGGATGCCTGAAATATGGACCATCTATATGATAGTTTATTAAAGATGATCATATCAAAGATATTGGGAGAGAAGATACTTTGGAGAGGGATTTTGTAGTAAGAGATGGTATGTGAAGAAAGTATAAATGTGAAAGAAAGGAAGAAAGAGATTGGTGAGAGCTATACTCAAAAAATGTGTAGCCACTTGTATGGCAGAAGAAATAAATGAACAGAGTTGATACCCAGCAAACCAAAACAGACATTGGATATAAACCTTTGTTCTATCATACTAGTATTCCAGGTTGAATATTAGACTTGGAGATAAGAACATCCAAAGAGGGCAGAAAAAATATTCTAGCTGCCTCTGCAGTCATAAAATGCTAATGTATTCAGATTTTCCTTAGATTGTCTATCCATTAAGTGCTAGTCATTGTTACAAGGGATGTTCTTTTAATATGACATTCCAAAATGTTACTGAAAGCTGAGGGTTTTTGATTTGGCATCTGCACATATCTGTTCTATAGGTTCATAAGTAATTTTGAAGTAGTTGACTAACTACCCAGATTTAAAACATTCAAATTGTAGACTTAGAGCTGCGAAATGATTTTCAGACGGAAAGCTTAAACACTGGTTATGTGAAAAAGTGAGTCAGCATGCTTATCGCTATATTTAATCATAAAAGGGTGACCCAGGCATTTTTTAGGCTAAAAAAGATAAAATGAATTGTTAAGAGTATCCAATAAAAATGACGGGTTTGAACTCCCTGTTAATTTCAGTGACACACCCTTTAGCATTGTCACACAAGAAAAACTGAACTTTTCCTAGCCTTCCCTGATTCTTATGTAGGAAAGAGATAGCCATATTAGTTGTAATTTTCTCTAAATCCATGGAATATTTTAAGAGTGAAAAGAGAGGATTATTGGGAACCTGGCTTCCTCTCTGGGGGGCTTTGCAGTTTTAACTGTCTTGTTTGTGATCTCATCTGAGTATGTTCTGATCCTTAATCCATAGAAAGATGTTTTTAAGATGTTTTTATTTTATTTCCTCATTTCACAGACAAAGAGACTGAAGTCCAGCACGTATCCTAGTCACTGAGCCTTTTTAGTGGCATGGCCAGAATTTGCTTTAGGTTTCCTGGAGAGCCACTGCATTTACTTCCATCACTACACCTCATCTTATGTTGGGTCATGGGTCACAGAATGGGCACAAAGGGGAAAAAGTGCTGACAGAATAGTCTCCAGAAATAGAAGGTGATGCACCTATGTTTTTGTGTATACACAGAAGGCCTAGACACTGACCGAAGAGCTCTTTGTGGTTTACTGCTGCCATTGTAAAGTCTCTGGGAAATTCACTCTCAGCATCTCTAAAGGAACTGAGAACCAGTCCACTGATCTTATCTTCTGTAGCAGTAGAGGCAGCTGCATCAAGAGAACAGTTATGCAGCATAATTCATTTTTAGACAAGTCCCTGAGCAAAATGCCCTTCATTTTGTGCCCTTCATTTTGCTCTAGTGTAGGCTGCACCTCTTTTCATGCTGTACATTCTTTTCCTTCTTCCTCTTGCTTGGACTCAACCCTCAGGTTAGAAGGTCTGGACTGTGAACGGACAGGAAGATGCTGTAGGAGACAAGGATAGCAAATGACTAGCATTTGGCTCCGTTTTGCCCCATGGGTGTGGCTTTAGGATTGCACTGGGTTATCAGCTCTTGCCAGGTGAGCCAACACCTGGGAGCTTCTGCAGCACGGGCTTGGTTGTATAACTGGGTGCTGCACCAGCATTGCCTGAGATGACCTGGAAATCTGGCACAGTGAGGACTGTGGACCTTGGACCTTAGACTCTCAATTTGACAGCTGTTTTCTCATTTGGAGGATAATACAAGTTGAGAGCATTCAGAAGTGTACACAGCTCCATGCCAGTGGGTGCAGTTAGTGACAGCAGAGTTGTGGCAAATGGGTCCTCCTGCATGATGCTAGTCTTTGTCCATTTTTTTTTTATCATTTTAATTCTTTTCCCCACATTAAAGTACTACTTTCTTAAAGCACTACTTTGAGAAAACAATATGGCAAGACATATAGTTACAATGATGCTTAACTGTTTTGACCAAATGCCATCCTTACATAAAAGGAACATTCTGAAAATAACCCCAATATCCAGTATTAGTGGACTTATTTTGATAAATTATGACAGACAGCATGGTAGCATAAAATAATACCTTATAGAGAATAAGCACATATCTAGAAGATAAAGAACAAAACATACAAAAAGCACTCTTATTTCACTGGAAGAGCAGGCATTGTTTTCTTAAAAATTCTTTACACTTTAATCTTCTTAAGAAAAAGAGACAGATAGTTCAAAACTTAAGTAAAAAACCATTGTGCTAATAACATCCCCCAATTTAAGCATGAAATTTTGTCATATTTAAACAATAACAACCAAAAAAAGAGAGCAGTTTGAACTTAGAACTTAGATGTGTGCAGGCCGGGGATGTAGCTCAGTGGCACAAGCGCCTGCCTGGCAAGCATAAGGTCCTGAGTTTGATCCCCAATACCAAAAAACAAAAAAACCCAAAAAACCCCCCCAAACAAAAACAAAAACAAAAAACCAAACAGTATTAGAAGTTTGCATCCAGGCTAAAGCCACTTCAGTTTCTTCCTCCTGTGACCCCAGTGTGGCTCAAAAAACTAACTTTATTCCTATGAGCTTAAAGTGTATTTAAAAAGTGAAACATTCAGCAAAACTCTGAGGGCTTACCTTTGTCACCAGGCTTTGATCCACTGGAAGAGCAGAGGAATGAGGTTTGGAGAGATCCATCACTAGCACTTGAACATAATTGATTTATCCTCTTCCTCTCCAGCAGGGAGGTATAATGCAAATATCTCCTTCTATGTAATCATTCAATTTTAGTTTCAGCCGTTTTGTTCTTTTAAAAGTTCACTCCCAATATCTTTCCCTAAATCTTTTCTTGTTTAGCTGAGGGCTCCTGAAGCTTAATTTCAATTTTAGAAGTAGGTGCTCTGAGAGGGGCATTTTCTCATCTGCTAATTAAAACTATAACCCATCCCAATCTGCCACATGTGTCTGAATAGCACTCCATTCTTACACAAATTATAATGTATCACTCCACATTTATTTGTTTAGCATTTATTTCATTGTGAAAGCTGTAAAAGGGCAGGGACCATATCTGTTTGATTCCTACTCCCTAAATATGTTATTTAATACTTTACATATGATGTATTCATATATGACAAATATATTTCCGGTTGGATTTTATTCTAGGACACAATTTTATTTTTTGTCATTTTTTAAATCATTTGCTTGGATGTACAATTCTTTCATTTGGTGAAATAGAGGTGACTTTGTGAAGAGATCACTTTTCACTTTAAATGTCATTAAGACAGCATTTTCATAAAATGTTACTTTTGCTTTATTTTTTTTCTTTCTACCCAGAAGAAATCAATGATACTGCCAAGTATGAGATGTTTACCTTTCATCATGGAGGTGTACAGGTTTTATGCAAATACCCGGAGACCGTCCAGCAGTTTAAAATGCAGTTACTCAAGGGGAGGAACATACTCTGCGATCTCAGTAAGACAAAGGACAGTGGAAACAAGGTGTTCATTCAGAATCAGATATTCTGTCAACTTCAGTTATCCAACAACAGTGTCTCTTTTTTCCTGAATAACTTGGACAGTTCTCATGGCAGCTATTACTCCTGCAACATATCAATCTTTGATCCTCCTCCTTTTCGACAGATTCTTACAGGAGAATATTTACATATTTATGGTAAGACATGGCTGTTTCTTTGGGGCTTAAGAGACACATGCATTTTGACAGCTTTCTCACTAATGAAAACAAACAAGTATCTTTTGTGTTGGAGTTCATTTGGGTGTAGTTCATAGCAAATTATTTTTGATGAAATATACAAGGGATGGCTTATCATTAATAATAATTAATATTTATTGGCAATATACAATGTAATCACATGGGGTGCTGAGTTAGAATTAGGTCATGTTCATCTTCAAAACACATATGCCATTAAAAGCAGGAAAAAATGAAGACAAATACCCAAATTCATGACTTAATGACTATTACTGTTACTCAGTTAAGGGATAAAGTAGAATGAAGTGAGATGATTGAAAATCAAAGTTTTGTAGCATTACTTTTCCTACTTACTTTTTTTGTGTGTGAAGGTACAGACAGAAAATCTGTTTCTATTAACTGCATTTATAAACATAATATTTGCATAGTCTTTTGCGTTTTAACTTCGGGATCCTTGCTATACTACTGAAGTGTTGTTAGTTACTACTTACTGAATTTCATGATTGTAATGAAGAAAAAACTTAATTTAACTAAAGATCTCTTAAATTTTATAAAAAATCTTGTGGTTCAGCGCTGCCAGAGATTTGATTCTCAAAGATTTTCATTAATTTTTTTTTCCAATATAGAATCACAGCTTTGCTGCCAACTGAAATTCTGGTTACCCATAGGATGTGCAGCTTTTGTAATAGTGTACACTTGTGGGTGCATATTAATTTTTCAGATTAAAAAAAAGGTGAGCAATTTCTATTTTCTTGCATCTACTTTCCTGAGTGGAAATTACTTTCCAGAGTAACTTGATCAACATGTAGACAGTTTGTTTTCCCCAAAGATTTGCTTACTGATTAAACTAATAACTTGGACCAGAGCTTATTTGTTTATTTTGTGGCCCACTTCATTCCAAAAAGGACTCAATGGCTCAGATATGGGTTATTATTACTATTATTCAAAAAGGATAAGAAACTGGGGCCAAGGGAAGGCAAAAGCTTAGGAAGGAGGTCAAAACAAAAATAGACATTTCTGATTTTTTAAAAAATTATTAAATGTGGGCTGTTCTGCAGATTTGAATCTAACATTTGAATTCCTAAGAGTCAGGGCAGCAAATTAGAACAATAGTGAGGAAGTCTTATAAGGTACCAGTAGCAGCTGAGAAGGTTGCTACTATAAAAGAAGGTTGCTACTGTAAATGATAACTTTTACATTGTAGGTTATCTGACTCCTTTCTTTTAAAGAAAACTGTTGAAAAGCTATCCAGAAAGGTAGAACAATAACAACAAAAATCTCTCTGTGTTACGGGACTTTTTAATCTTTCACATTATATGTTCTCAATGAAAGAATTTAAAACACTATTCTGCATGCCATGTGAGGATGCTAGTACCCAAATGTGGTGTGGTGGTACCAGATGTTGTGTGCATGTCTGCCAAACTAGAATTTGAAAAGAGGGTAAAGAAGGAAGAGAATGATATAGGGCCCACAATCTAAGTCTTTTGGGGAAGAAACAATAAAGGTAAAAGCGAAGAAGGAAGTTCAGTGGAAAGCTCGTTTCATTTTAAGCCCTTTTCATGGTGTTCTCCTACTTGGTCTACAGCTGAGAGCCTGAGTCTATGGTTACTCTTTCATCACCACTTCAGCAAAAAATAGACACCAGTCACAAGACAGGTGGAGGCAATGGGGGAAGCAGGTGACAAACCATGTTTTTGACTTTTTCTTCCAGAAATATGGATCCAGCGTGCATGACCCGAATAGTGAATACATGTTCATGGCTGCAGTAAACACAGCTAAAAAACCTAGACTTACAGGTACAGCTTCACTCGGGGGTTTGGGTAGGGAGGAGAATTTCTTCATGATAAGCCTGGAATTTGAATTTTTAATCCCAGAGAAAGGAAAATGTCCTGAAGGCTTCCTTTTAGTATTTCCTGTGAAAATCTGGATTTTCATTTTAACTGAATTTATGCCTTTTGTAGTATATTGAAAGGAAACATTATATTTGTAAATCGCTATTTGTAAATAAACAGAAAGCTCATAAGCCATAATTTTATTGACATAAGTTTCCAGCTGGTATTTCAAAAACTGGGATGATTCTAATCTTCCGTGTTGGAAGAGTCACTAAGAGTGGGCGTTTACTGAGTTTCGGGTAAGTGCAATTGTTGACTATGGCACTATGGGGACCGTGCATTTGGGTGGGAAGTTTGGACTGAGATTAGGAAAAGAGATCTGGGCTGATGCTACTGGGGGCAAGGAGCAAAAGTTGAAGATATTTAGTTATTTCCACGTAAAGTGTGCGCACTTCAGGAAACTTGGATGGTTTCAGCAATGTCAGGTGGAACTTTTGCCCTATTTTTTTTTTTTTTTAAGAATTAGAATTTCATGCTGTCAGGTTTGAGGAGCATCCACTGGAAAATTTATATGTCTTATGCCTTTGAAGGTAGAATGATGTTAGGCACATAAAGAAGCAGAAGCTACTGCATTTTTAAACCACTCAGTCGTTCTGCAAAGTATCAAAGGGACCCAAGTAGCTTGTGTTGTCATGGAATTACAGCATAGAAAAGGAGCTAAAATTGCACCTTTAGCCCATCTCCTCCTATTTTTAGATGACAGACATTGATGTCCACTGTTGGTTTGGCTCTCCAGACAGTTAATAACTATAGCTTTGGCACTTGCAAAAAGCTTTGTTTCATTACTTTATTATTGAAGAAATATATTTTATCTCAATCACTGTGTTCATACAATAATGTGCACTCTTAGTTTGGACCCCCTAAAGCAGAATGTGAGATAAGAACTTGGGTACAAGTAGCTCATTTGGGATGTAATCCCAGGAAGTAGTGACGGGACAGGGAGGGAGTGAGGTAGGCAAGGAGAGAAAGCAGGTGGATGGCTGGGGATGTGTTACCAAGGTCTGAGCTCCAGGTCACAGAAGGCTGGCTTCCCTGGGCTTCTGCAAAGCATGGAGTAGGACCGCCCCCTGCCTGGCTTGTTCTCTGGAAGGGTGCAAGTGTGGTGTTTACCCTTTCTGTCATGGTCACCACTGGTCTGGAGCTGTCTGCAGGGGGCATTAACACTTCCTAATCTCTGTGCTGCAAGGGCGTCAGGTTCTGAGTGAGGAGTTGGGATAATGTTTGTTCTTGGTGCTAAGACTGGGCTGAGTAAAACCTTCATGGAAAATGAAGAATTGGTAGTAGGTTTTGAAGAATAAAGATGAATTTAATTGCTGAGTGTGTGAGTGTGTGAGTGTGTGTGTGTGTGTGTGATGTGTGTGATGTGGGGGGTATGGGGTGTGTGTATAAGAAGGAAAAAGGAAAGCTTGTTGAAGGGAATTGGCACATGGAGAGCTTTTAAAGACTTCATAAAAGAATTTCTGTTACAGATGTGACCTCGTAATCTGGACCTCTGGTCTCCAGGTGTGTACCATGCTGGCCAGTTCCCCAACACGTGAAATGAGAAGTTCCCTTATTTCCTGGACCGCAGACACCCTGACTCGATTTGACTACATATATCTCCTGCCTGTGTTTTGTTCAATCTGGATCAATAACGAGATCAGTCAATAAGGATTTTAGCAGACTGCCTCTGTATTGCCGAGTTCTCTTGAAACGAACATCCTCTTGCAACTAACCTTATAGAAAAAAAGATCTTGCTCGTGTGTGCTCAACAAACAGACCTCACTGGGATGGAATTCCTGCTACTCTGCACCTGCTCCTTGCAATGTGTCAGCTAACAAAACAAATATGTCCACGAAAAAGTTAAAAGATGTGAAGGGTATTCATCTGCAAACCAAACCGGCAGCCAAGTGCTAGCATTTGTGCTCATTTTATGAACAGACTACCTCTTTCTGTAGCAATGGGATTCCTCTGTAATTCGGACAGTTGAGGGAGATGCTCCACAACTGTAACTATTTTATTTTGGAGATGTTGATTCATACTATCTTGTACTGGTACAGTAGTAGCTACTCAATATTCTCCTCTGATTTCTGAACCTCAGTTGAGCACTCCACCAAAAGTTTAAATGCCCTCTCTTGCCTTTAATTTTTTTTAAAAAATACTTCTACCTGCTTACTTGACAGCCAGTAACCACTCCGAATAAGGAGCTATATCTACATTTTTCTCCTTTGCTGTTCATTGAAATGGTGTTAAATATAGCACCTATAATTTGTCTATAATTTGCTTGTATTCTCTCTATGAGAAAATTTCTGCTACACAATGACATCTTCTTTCCCCAAATTTTTTAAAAATTGTTTACTTTGTTGAGATTAGTGATAGGAAACGTTGCTCAGAAACAAAAGCAACTTCATTTTATTATCCTGTTTTCTACCACTATCTATGTTTTCATGGTGCTATTAATCACAAACTTGGCTGTTTTTGTAGATGATATTAAAATTGCAAATGAACAAATTCATGTTTAATTGGTAAGCATTCTCCCAGGGTAGAGTGAATCATCCATTAGGTCCAGAAGCTGCAGTGACTGGAGGCTCCTGCCAGACTGGAGCTATGCTGCCTCTAGGCTTGACAGGTCCACACGGCCCCAGGATCCCAGAGCCCTTCACACTGGAGTGGAACATGAGGCTGCTTTGTCCTCAAGGCTGAAGGCACCTGGGAATCAATGTAGCTCTAAGTACATTTATACTGCTAGGAGCTGTGAAGAAGCACACATGGGTCGGAGTACCGTTCCCTTTCCTAGAAGCCGTTCAGCCGAGAAACTGGCCCTAGCCCTTTATGACAATCTTCTTTCAGGTATATTTTGTCCAGGAAGTCTTCCATACATGTAACGTGTTATTATTCTTGCTGGAATATTTTCTCCACTTTGTCCACATGCCCAAAGCTTCTGAAACAGCCAGTGTGTATGCAGTCAAAATTGTAACTCTATCTAAAATAGAGGTTACTTTAGTAGTTTCGAATTTGTAGTTGCGTGCTTAGTTTACTTTAAGAGTGAGACTGGATATGTCATTATATATACTTATGTTAAGCATGTGTAATGCTGGATGTGTACAGTATAGTACTGAAGTTATTTGAATCAAGTATAATGTTCTCTGTTTTCAGCAGACTTGGGCAAGCTGGGTGGCTTTGCAGAGGTGTCCCCTGAGTTGGTTGTACCTTCCTATGTGGTGGTGAGGATAGGCAGGCCTGGTTGCCCCAGACTGTATCTTGAGGCATCCTCATTATCTTCAACAGTGAGCATTTCAAAAGGAACTATTAAAGGAAAAAATTTCTGTGAAATAAAAACTGGTTTTAAGAAGAGCCATTTATCAGATGGATTTTAGCAGTAGTAGGAATTTAAAAAATAAACATTTGATATATGCAGCAACTGAAAATACCTCAGTGTCTTCTTGGGGCAGGGGAATGATTGTTTTAACTCACAATTGCCAATTTGACTTTGCTTTTGAATGATCTTGTACATCACATGGGATATTTGCTTTTTTCATCTTATATTCTACTTTTCATTTATTTAAGCAACCACAAACTTAGCTAGAGCACAGCAAGACTGTTCGTTACCTACACAATATTTTTCCTATCACTTCTGGAAAAGTATATTTTCCTGCAAGAGAATACTCTCTTCAATAAATCAACATTGACACACTGAAATTAACACTGATATATCACTACTACCTAATCATTAGACTTCATTCAAGATTTGGTCATTGTCTTAATAATGTGAATAATAATATTGAGATTTTGCTACCATCCAATCTTCAGACTGGCTTCAAGACTTGCTCTCATCTCCACAATGTGTTTTGTAGCCTAAGAGCCTGCTCTGGACCTTGTTCTATGCTTAACTGGCCTGTCCCTGTCCTTCAGTCTCTGGTCCTAGTGTCCTTAAATCTGGAGAGTTCCTCACTCTAGAATTCATGGACTTGGCTCTTCTGAAGACTAGAAGCAGTTACCTTGCAGAATGTCCCTTGTTTGGGGCAGTCTGATGTCCCTGCATGATTAAATTTGGGTTATTCATCTTTGGCGGAAATCGCACAGAAATACAATTATTTAGGTTTGTTATATTCCTCTCAATTTTCATTTTAATCGCTGGTGTCTGTCAAGCTTCTCCGCTGTACAGCAGCTCTTTCCCCCTTTACAGTTAATAAATATTTTGTAGGAAAATACTTGGAACCATTGCAAATCTTCTGTTCCTCCTCAAAATTTCAACTTATTCATTTGTTCATTTATATCTGTATGCATCATGTTTTCCTTCTTCATTCAATGGGTTCAAATGTGCTACCACCTTATTCGGTCTTGGTACTGAAATGGTCCCATCCTTATCCTGCAGGAGCGCAGTTAAAACTGGGTCTTGTGTCCTTCTGCCATGTCCCTACCTTTCTGTCAGGACTTTGCTGCAGAATGAGGTAGTCCAGCCTCAGCTTCAGCTTTCCCTGTTTCAGTGATGGAATCAGATGCTTCGCCAGGAGCCCTAGTTCCCTGGGGTGAAAAATGGCTTTAGAGGCCAAGAGGCAGCATTAATTATGCTTCGTTCTATAGAGATTTTCCTGTTCCTAAAACAGGTCAGGGGCCAAGCTGGGGTTATATATCTACCCACACAGATAAATAAAAAGGTTCAAACATAAATATACACATAAATGTGCATGTGTGTCTACAGATACATATGCACATGTACACATATCTGTACACCTCTCTAGGAATCCACAAGGTCATACCCATGCCATTCACTTCAATCCAGTTCCACAGGGTTTATTTTATATTTATCTCTTTCTTTTATTTGTCCTTCTGGCAGTGAGAAGTCTGACTTTCATGTCTTCAATGTATTTACTTATATAATCAATCCCTGGTGTGGAATCTGACTCCCATCTTCTTTCTCCCCTTCCTGTGGTGTCCACTCCATGTGGTACCCTCCCCTCTCTGCCAGGGCTCTGATTTATCATGCCGGGCTGCCCAGTCCTGTCACTCTCTCTGCCCCATCTGGCTCTGGCTAACCCTGGATGCCCCCACCCTATGGATGTTCTTTTCATCCTGTTTAGGTCTCACACAGCAGGTTGGGTCATTGCTCCATAAAATATGCCTTCCTTACCCTGCCTGCTCAGGTCACAGTGGTTCCCTGGCCTTGGATGTACAACTCCATGGGCTGTGCTTTTCATTGTCTACCAGAGTGCGTCCATCGTGTTATGTTCTGCTTGCCTATAGTGAGAACTGGCTTGTCACTTTTTTTTTCAGTACAGGGGATCAAACCAGGAATGCTCTACCACTGAGCTACACACTAATTCTTTTTAGAAATTTTAATTTTGTGTCAAGGTCTCACGTAGTTACCCAGGCTGGGCTCAAAACTGCAATCTTTCTGCCTCAGCCTTGCAGTACCGGGGATTATAGGAGTGTGTTGTTATGTCCATCTTGGCTTGACACTCTATCTATGGTCCTTTCTCCCTTGACTCTCCTCTCCACTTCTCTGTTGACATTTTCTTCACCTGATGCATAAACTTCCTACCCTGGAATCTTTGTCTCACAGTTTCTGGAGGGGCTGTCATGGAAACACTCTGTTTGTCCCTGTGGGGCTTTGGAGAAAGGAGTGTTCTTTGGGCCCTGGTGTTTCCTCTTTCCCCATTTATTCTGTGACTCCTCCCACAGTTTTGAGAATACTCACTTCATTAACCCTCTTCACTTAACCTTTTATTTTTTTAAATTTTTAAATTTTTAAAAAATGTATTTTAAAAATAAAAGAAGGAAAACATATTAACAAACAAACATCCATTTACAAAATAGCGTAAGAACAATACAAGCAATACAGAGTAATAGACAAAGTGGTAGGAAATTAACAATGGTTGATGTTGACATCTTCAAAGTGGTTTCTCAGGAAAACAGGTAGAGACATGCAAGATTGATCAAATAATTAATCACTAACTGTTCCTTTCAGTAAAGTGATAGAAGTCAGTAGTACAACTATGCTAGCTATCTTGTATATACATACATATGTAATTTCCCCTGCTTTCTTTTCTCTTTTCCCTCACCCCAGTTGCTCTTTACTTTTGAGCATTTTCCTTTCGTTTCACAATGTCTGTCATACTCACTTAGCTTTTAAACTCCACGTATTTCTAGGCTGAGTCACACCAAAATGTGGCCCACACTTCTGCCCTACCCTCCTCCTTCACTCACTGCCCTGGGCCAGGAGTGTTCCAGATCTGATCTCCTCCTTGGGAGTATCTTGAGTTCTGATGAATAAAATTATCTACCTTAGATCTTTTTCTTTGTCAAGCTCACATACTTTGCAGTAGGGGATGCTTTTCCTTGTGTGATCCAAGTCTTCATCCCACTTCAGCCAATTCCTCTTTCCTTTTCCACTGGGTAGAGAGGTTTTCCCTGGGCACCCTGGGAGACAGGCTGTGCTCAAATTAGGTGTTAATCAGCTTTCTTTCTGTGAAAAGAGGAGCTGGGGAATTTGAAATTTTCCAGAAGGATGAGTGCATCAGCATCAACATTATTCTCTTCCTCCAGGGTCTGTGTTCTCAGTAAGACAGGGAAGACGGTGAATTTACTGTCTTTTTCACTAAAAGTCAGGCTGTGCCCAGAGGTCTTGCACTCCATGCCATGTTTTCCTTCTTGCTACCTTGTTGATTAGTGCTTATGAATTCAATGTATGAATCTTAACTCTTCACCACCTTGCCATATGTTCTGTCCAAGGCAGTGAGACAGTCTGTGATCAGATCTATAAATAACCCCTCACGCCAGTCCTTGTGGATTTTTCCCTTTCTTAGGCTTTCAAAATCTATCCATGCTTCTGTCATTTCAGGGGTGCGGTCTGCCCACGACCCAAAGCCACCCTGTCTCCCTCAGGAGCCTTGGCATAGTGCTTCCCAGGAATTTCTTTTTTCTTTGTCAAGAAGCTAGAGGCTGGTCAGCCAGATTCACTGGGAAATCTGGTTTCTGAGGGCAGAGTTGGGCAAAGACTTCAACTAAACCATGGATATCTGACCTTTTCTCTCCTTAAGAAAAGGCAGTCTTTTTACTTTGAGTCATTTGTAGGAAAATGGTTGCAACTTGAGACCATAATGTTAAGTGAAATAAATCAGACACACAAGTTTAAATATTGCAAGGTTTCTCTTATATGAGAAACACAAAGGATAAACAATTTAAAGACAAAAATAAAAGATGGATAATAGAAAACAGGGAGATAGACCTTTTGCAAGTGGGGAACCAAGGGATGGAGGGAAGGCACAGGGGAGGGCTAGGAAGGAAAGAGAATTATGACATGATGTGTGTGCACAGGCATCAGCTCCCCTCAATGAATATAATCATTATGTACAGGGGACGTAGACAATGAAAAGAAAGAAAGGGCTTTATCTGTTGAAGCAAGGTTAAGGAGCAATTTCTAGTTCATATGATGAAGTTTTCCTCTTCAGGTTTAATAAACAGCACCATGTCTAATATGGTTCTTTGAAAAGAGTACTGAATTTTAAATATAACTTCTTAAAGTGGGTTTTGTGCTGGTTTTTTGGCTTTAGGCTGATAGTCCAAAGCAACGTATCTTATGTCGAATCAATCTTTCCCATCGTTGTTCCAATAATCTAGAACCATAGTGAAAATACTTTCTTGGGATTAAATACTGACATGTATTTCCAAATGTCACATCACTTCCTGAAAAAAAAGTCTCAGGTATAAAATCCAGGTACCTCTAAGTCTACTTAAATTTACATCAAATAAACGATAGTACATCAGAAATAAGTTTCAATTGAAAAGTATTTCTTTCCCAATCTTTTGAGAACATGCCAAAATGAGAATGTGTTACATTCCAAAAACATAAACTGTATTACAAAGAAAAGAAAACCTTTTCTCGTTATCATTATATCTTACATACTCGAAGTGGCTTTTAAAGAGAACCTTTCTTTGTTTTCTTCTAACACTTTCCCTAAGCTGTCTGGGTACCTCATTAATCTCCTCCCACATTTTCCTGTTTGAAACAGTTAATACATTAGCACATTATCTCTCTTTCTCATTCACACAGCTCTGTGCTCATTTCCCAAGAGTGCTGTAACAAGTGATCACAGATTTAGTCATCTGTGTGGCTTATAACAGCAAACAGTTACTCTCTTACAGCTCTGGAGGCCAGAAGTCCTAAATCAATTTCACTGAACTAAAGATAAGGTGCTGGTAGGGTTGGTCTTTCTTGGGGCTCTAGGGGAAAATCCATTTTCTTACCTTTTCCATCTTCTCGTAGATGCTGACATTCCTTAGTCTGGGGCCATATCATGCCAATCTTCCATAGCTGAATTGCTTCTCTTTTCCTATAGTAACTCCCTCTGTGTCTTTCTCTGGTAAAAGCATTTATAATTACATTTAGGGCCTACTATAATCCAAGATAATCGCCTGAT